GCACCAAGACCTTCAGTATCAATCAAGACAAATGCGTCAACACCGAGTTGATCTGATAAATTTTTTTCCAAGAATAATAGTCGCATAAATAGACCTCTAGTACAACGCCCGACAGAAACGGCAAATCTACATGCAAAGAGGGCGTTCAAGAGAGTTGACTTTCCTGATGATTGTAGACCAAGAATGCTGATCACGAAAATTCGAAGCTTAGGAATTTTTTTACAAATGCAGTTACAAATGGCAGAGAACCAAGCTTCAGATATCTCGCCAGCGTCACCATCAAGCAATTCTATAGTGTGACCGCTAATCAGCAGTTCAGCATAAAGTTTTGGCACCTTCACAACAATATCGTGCCATTGATAATGAACGGAAAAAATGCTATAGATTCTGCCCAATTCACGGAAAAAGTGCTCCATTCCTAAACTCATATTATCAACTTCCGCCCAAATTTTTGCAATTTCTCTTCGAATACTTTCCTCACTTTCTTGATTCCTATTGACTAAACTGGATTTACGTAATTCTTCTCTTTTCAATACAGCCTTATTTCGAGCTTCAGAGGATTCTATCATAGAGAGCCTGGATACTTCTCTTTCAAGGTGTGTTAAAGCTCGCATTCTTTTCCCGAGAGGTAGATTTAGAATGTCAATATACAAAAATATGAGACCTTGCAAGTCAACGTTATCTTGCCAAATTTGAAGACCGTTGTAGGATTGCTTTCTTTGAAGCTGCATAACTTTTAACTTAATATGACGACAAGTTTTTTCTTCAACAAATTTTATCAAAAGCTGAGATGGCGCCTGATATTCTTATGGTACAACATGTATCTGAACGCAATGTCGCAAAATTGTCGGAGCCTGAAGAAAAATTCCGAATAGCTCTGCAAGAGGCTTTGAAAGTGGCCGAAGAACAAGACATTGAAATGGGAATTTTCAACACAAAATGTCTTCATATTCTTGATGAAAGAATTAAAAAAGGTCAGCTACTTAAACAATTTCGACCATTTAAAAATGGTGCAACTGCTTATGCCCCACCTTCAGAGCAATATCACGAGGATGTTGTCAATTTATATGAATCTATACTTGCTGATTGTAAAAATTCACGAAGAAAAATTGAATTTTCTGAATGGAATTCTTTAATTCAAGGTTATTGGCGAGCAGTCTCCCTTGAAAATTTTGCTGTTCACTTCAAGAATATCAAAGAAATTTATGAATTTATTGATCTTGGCAAACGAATTACCAAGGTTAAAGAAGCCATTAGCCGGGCGTTCCTAAAGCATGAGGAAAAGATTATGCAAGAAATTCGATCTAAGCTTCAAAATTGGTCTCCTGATGACAGGGCAAACGAAAATTCACGTCTCCGAAATGAATGTTTGAAGTTGATTGAATCGGGGCTAGAAGATGTACTAAATTGTGATAATAACTCCAATTGTGAAGAATGTAAAAAGGCAAATAAAGAAAGGGTTGAACTGGAAGATTACCTTAAGGAGAAAAATAATGAAAAAACTGAAACGGAAACTAAACAAACCATTGAAAATTATATCAAACTTAATCGTCAATCTGTATCTGATAAACTTACTCGAATGCTTTCAGCTATCATTATCCGAAAAGGTCTGTCATCTGAATCTCTTGAAATAATCAACAGGCATTTAGAAGATATCATAAGAAATATGCCAAGTAGAGGGTTTCCTGATCATGAGCGTAAACGAAAAATTGAAGAAATATGGAATGCACTGCGGTTTAACATATTATCAAAAGATAAGCCTATACCGGTAGAGAGACTAATAGATGAAGACGTCAATAATAATTACAAAACATTGCCAGTTGATCTTCATTATAAATACAAAAATGGAATCTATCCAGATTTATCTAAATGTAAAGCATATAAACCGATTAGTTATAATGCTTTAACTTCGCTCTCTCAATGTTTGGAAAAGAAAGACGTCCATGATCTTCAAGGAAAACTTGATAATTTAGCTGATCTAATCTTCAAAGATAGAACTTCTCAACATTTTTATCCTGGAATTGTAAATGATCTCAAAAAAGTAATAGATATGACAATCGTCAATTTTCAAAAACCTCGTAGCACTTTTTATTCTGATTTAAAATGGAATATTCATTTATATGCTTTGTTGAAGTTTAAACCAAAAATGAAGAAATTTCAAGACGACTGGGAAAAGGAAAATAGTCCGCTTGGCATACTTGATCAAAAGAAAGAAGAGTACTTAAAGATCATTGATACTCGGCTTCAATATGGACATTCGCTTGTTTCTGAGGGTCATATTGTTGGGGACTATTTATTGAGAGTTATTCATAAAAAAGCAATGAAGGCGGGGAACTCTGAACGTGTAAGAGCGGTCAGTGACATAGCTTGGATGACTAGTTCAGAAACAGTTAGACTCAAATATTTTGAGGAACTTGCCGAACAAGTTCAAAAAGGTGATAAAGCAGCAGCTATACGTCACTTTTCAATTCCAGAATATTCTATAAAAAATTGGTTTATACGTACCGTTAATAGTATTAAAAGTGGAAATCCAGAACAAAAATTCAAAGAGACATTTAATGCAGAATTCGAACGAGCTCTTCAGGAAATTCGTAACTGTAAAAATTTTGAGGAAATCAAAGTATACGTAAATAATTATATGACACAAGTTGATAATGTGGACTATAAGTTGGATCTTAAGCATAACCTAACTAAAGATGGAAACTTAAAATTATTCCAACGTACAATCGAGAAAGAGCTTGAAAATAAAGGGAATGGACGTTATTCGAACCCCGAACCTTTTCAAGACCCATCTGACGATAAATCAATTATGAAAAGACTCGGATGTACGGAGGCATGTCATTGGTGCGGGGCTTTGTGCTGGGGATCTCGAGACCATCATGAAAATAGCGACACAACGAAAGTTCATCATACTAGCCATCAACCCCGTGGTCTTACTGGAACAACACATAGAGATACATGTGAGCTTAGGGCAATGCCATGTCATAAAATGACGGATGATTGGTATGTGTGGTATCATGGTAAGGAGGATGCAACTATATGGAGTGACGCAATAGCTCGAGATTTTTCGGATTGGAAATTCGAAGCTCACTGCAATCAAATTTTTAATGACCTTATGTGCTGGTTTTTTGAAAAGCTGCATCATGATTTGGCAGCTAAATGGGGTAGTAAACCAGCACCTTATAGTGAAATGAGAGATCACGGTTGTCTATCCTTGAATTATGATAGTATTATTAGCACGATCAGAACCAAATTTTAACATATGTAGAATTTTCCGTCTATTTTCAAATTTGTCAATATTTGATTTAGATTCATGTATTCGTTAGTAATTCTATCCACATGTATACACAAATAACAAAATTAATGATTAATAAATATATTGAATTATTATAAATTAGCACGTGATTTTAATTTTAATTAATAATTTATAAAAAAAGGATTAATGTTTAGGGAAGGGTCAGAAATGATGTCATTTGATTTTCGAGGGCTTTCCCCCTGTCATAATATCCAATTAAAGAATCGTGTAACTTTATTTATCACGTGATAATAATTTTAAACTTTGGAAAATTTATGAATTTATAGTTATTTTATTGTTATAAAATTTTATCATACATTGTGCAAATTAATTCACTATGTAAAATGATCTTAATCTCAAGGTTATACTTTATCTTTTTTACGTCTACCACCACTTATTCATTATTTGGGAGGTTGTGTGGTTGAGATTTTATCTCTATGGTCAGAAGATTGGTCCACATATGATTCTTCATAATTTGTCATTGCATCACGATTTCCTACCATAGAATGACCATCATTTTTTCACGTTACTTTTTTCCGCTTAGATGCATAGTCTTACTATACATCTTCATAAATGCCTTTGTTAGAAAATATTTTTCACACTTTTGGCATACAAGTTCACGATATAGTTCAGATGAAATACTCAGACAATGCTCATCATAGCCAGAAAGCTGATTACTAAAATATTCCAATGTATGCAATAGATTAAGAAAATGCTTATCTTGTCCTTGTATAACGGGAGAAAGATATCCATTATTTAGTGATAAAAGTTCAAAAGTGTCAGAAGCTTGCAGTAGTTTACAATAATTTTAATCCTTACACTTTCGTAAATCAAGAGAATATTTACAGATTTGTAAATGGCGATCAATCCAATCTCACGTTTCTTCTTTGATATCTGAAAATATAGTATGGTCATGCCTTTCAATGTATGTAGCAACAACTAGTCATCCATTGATAAGATCACGATTTCATAGTTCACAGAAATGTTCACCAGCATATTTAAAATTTTTACGTCTGAGTTTTTCATCAACTACAGAAATTTGTCCATTTACACTGCTAAGATACTTTCCATAATTAAAAGGATTCAATATAATGCCTACTAATTTGCTGTATAATGATAAAATGCTTTTTTCTACTGAGTTGTACGCCGATTGCCCTGATACATGTGTTCGCACTGTAAGGTAATCCAAATTGGATTTTTTAAAAATAAGCATATATTTTTAAATATTAGTGAGAAACTGAGGATTTTCATCAGGTCCTTTGTCCATCAATAGACACCAGATAGGTTTTACTGAACCTTCATAATGTGTAAATTTATTATAAGCCTCCTCCTCCTCTACAATTATTATAAGATCAATCATATGTATTTCAGGCGAAGTGCTCAAAAGTATTAAAGGTGAATAAAGATTCGCATTTTTCCAGAACATAAAAAATCATTTGTATTATTAGAATCAATCAATAAGTAGACAGATGAGATCAACTTATGCTTAAAACCTACTGGAAAGTTATGATCGAGAATAGATATAGGTTTATTTGATGTCTGTATCGTCTTAAATATTTTTCTGACTGCTATAATACCTAATGGAACCTAATAATAACAATTTAAACTTTTAATAATTACTAATCATTTATTTAATTAAAAACTATACTTGAAAAATTGATAATAAAAAATCAATCATTTTTTATAAGCTTTTTATTTATTTTTATAAACTCTTTATTTACATTTCTAAAATTTTTTCCCTGCTATTCAAAAAAATCTATTTATTCTAACTATCAAAATATCAATAAAATAATAGTAAACATATACTTTAGCTTTATCATTCTGTGAAATCAGAACAACATTTTGTGAAAAAGTGAATACAAATGTTTTTACACCTTTGACTGATGCCAAACAATAATATTTATCAACATGATCACTCATTTTATTTTTTCTAACAGCCGCCAAGCATATTTATGCAGGATGATAGTGTTGTTTTGCTTCTTTTATCTCAGAATGCTGAGGTTGCATATAATTTTGTAATGTAGATTTTGCCATATATATTATAATTTTCTTTCATTTTTTTACAGAAGTGCTTAATTATTCGCACTTTAATCACCTTCTTACGTCATTTATGATCTGCAACTCCAAACTCAATGCTGTTATGCATTTTTTCTAAAAGATTAGGATTATTTATTAGATATGATAGATGATCTGGTGTATCATATACTTCCACAATATTTTCTTTTTCTAGCATTTCTCTTTTTTTTCTAAACTCGTTGTTAAGCTGTTGCATTATCTCTTAACCATTTAAGCTTTGTTCCTCTATAGTTATAGTCCCCTCAAGTCTTTTAATCTTTGAAAAAAATTGTGAATGAAATTTCGATGATGTTACTACTTAGTATATTTATACACTTCTATTTTAGTCTTTTGAACAATAGTAACTGATTATTTTTGTACTGATACATTAAATGAAAGCTGAGTATTATCAGGAGGACTAGGAATTGGTATAGGTGGTGAAGGTGATATAGGTAGTGAAGGTAATATAGATGATGAAAGTGATATTGATGAAGATGGTATAAGTGATAAAGGTTTAGCTACAGATTTTTGTTGTAAAAATTGTAAAAAAAAGGAAAAGAAGGTTGAATAGGTGTCTTTAATAGATTAAAAATAAGGTTTTCAATATAATTTACATTTTTGTTTTAACTTCTCGCTAACTACTTTGTGCTTGAAGTTGAAGTTCTTTTTTACTAAATACAGCATTATAACTTTCTATCATTTTAAAGTATGCAAAAGTATTTACATATTGTTCATAAAGATTTTGCAGTTTTTAGACAAGATAATTCTTAAAATATTTTTGCTCTCGAAAATATATTTGTTTTATTGTAAAAAACTCACAAAAAAAATTCTTCTTTACATTTTTTAAAGTTGTGAAAGTGAGAAAATTTTTTTCTTATATTAAACTATTATAACACTTGTTTAACGTTAAACAAAAATTTGCCACAATAAATATATGATGTAAAACGCGCAGTAAATTTATATGCAGTAATATTTGTGACATTTGACACACATAGTAAATTTAGATTTATCTAAAAAAGAATTTGTATAATATTATCAACTGGTATTCCTCTCTCTTTATGATAAATATGATTAGCTAATTGACTTGTTTAACGTTATCAACTGATACCCTCTCTTTCTTTATAATGCATATAATTGATTAATTTATTTATTTAAAAAAGGATTTGTGTAATGTCATCAACTACTATACCCCCTTTCTAATAAAATAACATTATATCTGACCTTCTCCTTACCCTGGTCTACTCGAAGTAATTGAGTTAGAAATCATCACTTACAAAGTATATTTTTGTTAATCTTTGTTATATTCAAAGGTTTTTGTATTAAAAAAAAATAAACATTCAATATCTCAGAATTTGATTCTTTAATCGTATTTTATAGGATATATATGGAATCTATGAATACACTTTATATTAACACTTACCAATACTTTTTTTTCATCTGGAGAAAAAAGTATTGTACTTGACCCTCCTCATTTGGAACTTTATTGAATATAAAAATTTAACAAATTTTTATTTCACAATTTTACCGTTGTCACTATTAATTAGATTTTGTCTCATTGCAATATTGATAAAGAAGAAAAAAAAACTCCAGTAATTATCCTTTTGGGTCTTATCAACATTTTGCTTTTTTTATATTTATAATATTCTTATTTAAAGAAAGAATATAGCATTTTGTAAATTTTCCCACGTTAGTACGTAAATTTAGAATTAAAAACTATAAAAATAATATTTTATTAAATGATAAGTAAATTAAGTTACAAGATTATTAAAAAATGCTCTTGACTTATTATTATTAGAAGAGGCTTGATTAAATGAATATAATTTAGTGAATATTATAGGCAAATTGATCAAGACCATTTGGAATTGAAGAATTATTATAGAACAATTAACTTTGAGGATATTAAAGAATTATAATTACTATCATGAATTTCATTAGTTGAAAAAATGTAGATTGTGAAAAAATTGAAGTAAGAAGCAAAATATTAGTTTTTGCATAATAAAGAATATTATAAAGCTGAATTTGTTGTAAATTATTAGATAAATTCAAATTTCCATTATCCTTGGAATTTTTTGCAATCAAAATATTATTGAAGCATAGATTTTTTATAATAATTACCTTATAAGTACGAATATATCTTCTAATATATTTTTTTCTTTACTAATTTCTTATTTTCCTTATTTTCTTGTAAATTGAAACTATATAAAATTTATAGTGATTTTTGTGATTTTGTAGAAGATTTAGGTAAAGTTTTATAGTACTAAAATTACATTTTCTTACTTAATTCTAAGTGAAAAAAAATCTCTATTATTTACTATTTGACCAAAAATTCTTGATAACTATAAAATAATTTATAGTAATTAATTTATATTTAATATAAATAAAAAAACATGAAATGAAATTAATCATCATATTTTTAAGTTTAAATAGTCTTAAAATTTATTTAAAAGTCACATAAATTTTTCCATAAATTAACTTGTTTTTACTTTTTGCAAGAATAATGCATTCCTTATTTAAAATATGTTACTGAATATTTTTTGTAGTTAATAATTTTTTATAAAATTCTTGCTGCATGACAATACTTATACATATCTCAAAATAATCCATTTCAAATATAATCTAAGCATATTAAGCATTCTCTATTAGATATATTTGTTAAATAATATTCTTCTTATTCAAAGATTACATTATAATGATTTTTTGCAAACTTTTAATAAAATTAATATAATTTTTCAATAATATTTTTATCTATTTTTCTATCAAATGATTATTCTAAATATTTAATTTTACTTAAAAATAACTATTGTATTTAATAATTTTATATATTTTATTAAGAAATAAATTAAGTTTTATTTTCAGAAACTTGTTGTTGAATCTGAAGCATGACACATAAATAATTTCTTTTTATTCAC